CAAGATTGGCTGTTACGTACCTGTGAAGTTGTTGCGCAGTCCACGAAGGAGAGGGACAGCGGCCATAGCTGCAGAGCCTGTACCACAGAGTGACGAAGTAGGAGGGAGAAGGACAGAAGGGGAGAGACTGAGGAGGAAGAAGGAGCGGCCATAGCCAAGAGGTGAAGAGGAGGCCGATCAAAAAAAAAAAAAAAAAAAGGAGAAAGAGAAAGGAGAAGACAGCGGGGTGAAGGAGGCAAGGGAGGTGAAGAAGAAGAAGAGTGTTGGCAAGGAAGAAGAGCCGGCAGCCATAACTGACCGGAGGGTTGACCAAGAGGGTTGACCGGAGGTGTTGACCGGCCGTTACCAGAGTTGACCGGGGTTGACCGGGGGTCACAGAAGCATTGACCGGCGTTGACCAAGGCGTTGACCAAGACTTTGACCAAGCTGGAGTTGGTAACATCTCGCCAAACCCTCAGCCTATCCCTTGCCCTATGGATGTGCATACACCCCTCGGTACTTGCTGGACTGAGTCAGTATGTCTATTCTTTCTGCATTGAGTCTCTTCTGTCCTAGTTTATAGTACTCTGTGGATGAAGGATAGGGCTTGGATGATGAAACCCTAGTCTGACCTTGTAGGGCTAAGACTGTGGCTGATCCAACTTTCCAGGGGGGCATAACCCTCCCAAGGACCAGTGCTGACCGGCTGGAAACGGTTGGTAGGACACAGTGGGCCTGAACGACAGTTAGGGCTGACACACCAGCCAGTCTTTAAGTGTTGAGGGCCTGTTTGAACCACTCCCCTACCAGACCAAGTAAGGCTTATGATCTATGTCTGACGACTCGACTGTCCCGGGGGATACGAACCCTCSCAAGGACCGGTACAGACCGGCGGGCTGCTCGGTGTGGGACCGTAGGCCGGAAAGGTTGAGTTGTGGGCTGAAAGCACCGGCAGAACCAAGCTGATCACGTCGTCCTGTTTGCGACGTTAAAGAATTCTTGCGGAGCTACGGGGGATCTCCTTAAATGCCTCCTGATCAGCCACTGGCTCAAAAGTGATAGCCATAGCATAGGTCTAGGCAAGAGACAATAGTTGACAAGATCCCTGTCAGGATTCTGTGAGTCTTAGATCGAGTCAATAGGTCGGTCAGTCAGGGGTTCGAGTCTACGTGGTGAGGTTTGGAACCACTAACCCGGTTGTACACTTATCACCATGGTTGAGACCCGTACTGGGAAGGAGACTAGCCCCTACACCCCTGAGCAACAAGCAAAGATAACCGCCTTAGTGAAAGAGAACAGGGAGAGAAAAGAGCGCGAGAAGCAAGCTAAGTTAAAGGCTATCACAGATGAGCAGGCGGCAAAGATGAAAGAGATAGAGGAGGAGATGGAGAAGAAGAAGAGGGTTGCTGAAGAGGAAGCGACAACAGAAGAAGAGAAAGAAAGAATGAGGATCGAGAGTGGAGAAGGGAGCAGCAGTAGCACGATGAAGAGGGACACAAATGCAGACATTGAGAAGAAGATAAGTGAGTGGATTGCTAATTTATCGTTGGGGGAAGACGAGGAGGCGGAGTCATATGTGACTGAGGATGAGAAGGCCGCACTGGCTGCTGAGTTAGCAGCCATGACGGATCCTATGGAGTGAAGAGAGAGGGAAGACGAGCAGAAGTTGCAATGGAAGTTGAGAATGAAGAGTGAGAAGAGAAGGACGAGAGAAGAAGTGAATAAAATGACCGCAACAGTGGCAAAGGTGCAGGAGTGTAGAGCGGAGGTGCTGGCCCAGCCAGATGATAAGGCCAAGTGGGACAAGGTACTGGGCTACGTAGAGGTGTTGAGCAAGGCCTGGATGGAGGAGCGCCAGGCAAGTTGGAGCCAGGATGTAGCGTTGAGTGCCATGCAATCCGGTTTCAAGGATTTTGCGCGCGAAGTCGTCACCCACATTAGGGGTGAAGTCAAACAGTTGAGGGACAATGTAGGAAAGTTCTCTGAAGGCGCCATTGAAGGTGCACAAGCCATAGCCGCTGTAGATGGCGAGGCCATACCCCGTAAGGAGCCTGTCAAGCTCAAGTTCCCAGACGCGTACGGAGGAAAGAAGGAGGGGAACTTTGATAACTGGGAGGCCAGTGTCAACAGTTACATTTATTTACAGCATATCCTGATAGAGGAGCAAGTCCTCATGGCCTTCCAGGCCCTGAGGGACGAAGCGGCTAGCTTCGCCACGTCCCTTGCGCGTGCAGCCGGTTGTGAAAACAACCTGGTTGCATATTCCAAAGTCAGCCCCCTCTCTCAGTTCCTCAAGCTCCTTAAGGAGCGATTTGCTGACCCAACGCGAGGCGTCAGAGCCTCAGACAAGTTGCAGACAATTCACTCACAGCAATGGAGGAGTGCCAAGGCACTCAAGGGTACCATGGACGACTTGGTAGCCGTCCCGGACCATCGGGTCACTGAGCCCCAGCTGGTTATCGTGCCATGCCAGAGGCCCTACGCGGGCATTTCTCTGACAAGTCTCAGCAGGCCGGCATCACTTACGATGCATTGAGTAGAGAAGTCGTCCTGTATGAGTCGAAGTCTATGCCAGTTACCACTTTCTGGCATAAGGACCTGGAGAAGGGGAAGAAGTGGAAGGATCGTACCATCTCAGGCCAAGTCAAGGCCAAGGATCACTTGATCCTGACATTAGAGGAGGGTGGTACAGAAGAGGTCCCATATGATCAGATTGAGTGGGGCCTAGGGGAGGAGGACAGTAGTGTAGGGCAGGGGAGGTCTTACGCTGCTGTCGCGGTTGGAGGGAGGCCGCAAGGTAGAGGACGAGGCTAGGGCCAAAGGGGCCAAGCCATGGGAGGCCGAGGACCGGGTGCGCAGGGGGTTGGCGGCCAAGGAAACCGCCAAGCGGGAGGTAGGGGTCAAGGTCCTCCGCCGAATCGCCAGGGTAATCGGTCCCCACAGCGTAGAGGTGGAAGGGCACCTCAAGGAGGATGGCTTCCAAGCTTGCCATAGGGCAGACCTCGGGAAAATCTGGGCTTGGACCAACGATTATGGCAAGAACGTGTGAACATGGGTCAGTGCGTATTTTGTGGTGACCCGGCCCACGTTATCAAATTTTGTCCAAAGTATAGACAGGCCCGTTGGGCTGCCCAGCAGTCAAAAGGCAGCCGCCAGTAGGGGTTGCAACTGCCCCTACTTTAAGGCCATGCGGAGAAGTGAGCGCGCGCGAATAGGATACTCCTAACCCACATGAGCCTATGGCAGAGGTTGCAGGTCCGTGCCTAGATAGCTGTCCAGAGACCGCCTGTGTTAGCGTCTGTTTAGGCACGTCCCTCACAGGTGTGGCAGAAGAGTTAAAGGAGAGGATGCCAGCCTGGGCCAAAATGAAAAAGGAGAGTAAGGGACAACTGATCTTAGTAGATGTGGAAGTGTTTAGGAGTAGAGTAGGGGCCCTTATAGACTCAGGGGCCACCCGTAGCTATATTAGCAGTAGTGCGCTAAGGAAGTTGAGGCTATGACTAAAAGTCCAAAAGCTAGTAGACCCCATAGTCAGTGTCCTCGCAAACAACCGCACGATGCGTGTTGAGGACTATGTAGAGGGAGTCCAAGCGTATTTTCGTCTAGAGAAGGATGGTAAAGTGGAGAAAGTTCTCCATTCCCCGACTCTCCTCGTACAGGATGACCTTCCTTTCGATATAGTGTTAGAAATGGATTGGGTAGAGGCAGTAGGGGCCACAGTTCATTTGAGAGAGCATGAGTGTAGGCTCCCTAGTCCGTCAGGCGAAGTTAAGACTGCCCGCTTGTTCCATGTGTCTGGTGTAGACAACACCTTGGCACATTGTTGTCTCAGTGCTCCCGCGTTCGCGCGATTAGTAAAAAAGGAGCAGTTAGAGGAACAAGTCTTTGGAGTGTATGTTAGACCTGTCACCGAGGGCAAGGAAGAGGTAGCTTCCACGTATCCAACCATAGCCAAGTTGCTGGAAGAATTCAAAGACTTGACTGAGTCGCCAACAGGGGTAGTGTCACGACCCATCTAGCACCGGATAGAGATAGAGCCTGGCAGTAGAACTCCTAAGGGTGTAGTCTACAAGATGTCTCTTAGAGAATTAGAGGAGTTTCACAAGCAATTAGACGAGCTCCTTGAGAAAGGTTGGATCAGGCCCAGTTCGTCTCCTTTTGAAGCACCCGTTTTATTTGTCCCAAAGAAGGAGGGAGAACTCCGTATGTGTATAGACTATAGGGGTTTGAATGTGAATATTTGTAAAGAATGTTGAGCCACTGCCCAGGATAGACGATCTCTTAGATCGGGTGCAGGGTTGCAAGTATTTCTCCAAAATAGACTTGAAGTCCGGATACCATCAGATAGAAGTCCATCCTGATGACCAGTACAAGACTGCGTTCCGGATTACATACGGGCACTATGAGTTCATAGTGATGCCCTTTGGACTAACCAATGCGCCAGCTTCCTTCCAGTGTTGTATGAATGACCTGTTTAGACCGTGGTTAGATAAGTTTGTAGTAGTCTATCTAGATGATATCCTAGTTTTTAGTAAGACCCTCCAGGAGCACCAGGGTCATCTGAGGCAGGTCTTGGAGAAGCGACGAGAGGCTAACTTCAAGATCAACGCAAAGAAGTGTGAGTGGGCCAAGACACAAGTCTTGTTCTTGGGCCACGTGTTGGACGGAGATGGCATTAAGCCTGAAGACAGTAAGATCGCGGCGATTAGAGATTGGCCGACGCTCCACACATTGACAGAGTTGTGGTCGTTCTTAGGCCTAGCTAACTACTACAGAAAGTTCGTAAGGAACTTCTCCACTATCGCCGCTCCCTTGCGCAGGTTGCTGTAGAAAGAGGCAATCTAGCAATGGGACAAAGACTGTACGTCTGCGCTTAAGAAGTTAAAGCGCGCGTTAATAGAGTATCCTGTCAAAGTTGCAGATCCGTCTTTGCCATTTGTCGTCACCACGGACGCRAGTCAGTATGGGATAGGCGCCGTGTTGCAGCAAGATGACGGCAATGGCTATAGACCCCTAGAGTTCATGTCAGCGAGGATGCCCTGTGAGAAGGTCGCTACCTCCACGTATGAGAGAGAACTCTACGCTCTTAGGCAGGCTTTAGACCATTGAAAGCACTATCTGCTTGGGAGGCACTTCAAAGTGTATTCTGACCACGAGACACTCCGTTGGTTAAAGACATAGGTCAAGATGACACCTAAGTTGACTAGGTGGGCCGCAGACATCGACCAATTCGACTTTGAGCTCAAGCCAGTGAAGGGAAAATACAACGTAGTTGCGGATGCTCTGAGTAGGAGATCAGACTACTTTGGAGCCGTAGTACACTATCTGGATATAGGGAGAGACCTGCAGGAGAAAGTGAGGCAAGCATATGCGCAGGACCCTATCTATAGCGACCTCCTAAAGAGAGTTAGAGAGGCCCCAGAGACTGAACCAGATTACCGCACTATAGACGGGTTGCTGTTTGAGAAGACTAATGTGTTTGACCGCCTGTGCGTTCCCAAGAGCGAAGAGATCCGCAGTTTGATTTTAGGGGAATGCCACGATATTGAAGGGCATTTCGGTTGGCAGAAAACATTAGCCAACCTGATGCGTGCTTATACCTGGCCAGGGATGAAGAATGGCTGCATAGAGTATGTCCGCAGTTGTAAAGTGTGTCAGAGGAATAAGTCTACTACACGCTCGCCCCTAGGTCTTCTCAGACCCTTGCCTATTCCGGATCAGCCGGGAGACTCCGTGTCCATAGACTTCATGGACACCCAAGTCAAGAGTAGACATGGTAAGAGCCAAGTCATGGTCGTAGTTGACCGTTTTAGCAAATATGCAGTTTTCGTTCCTTTGCCTGTAGAGGCACGTACGGACTTAGTTATACAAAAGTTTTTTTACTTTTGGGTTAGTGAGAATGGAATCCCATTGTCAATAGTTAGTGATAGAGATAGTCGTTTCACCAGCCAGAACTGGCAAGAACTCATGAGAGTTTACGGATCTAAGTTGTTAATGTCATCTGGCCGTCACCCAGAGACTAACGGTCAGACAGAACAGATGAACAAGATTCTATAGCAAGTTCTGCGCATGTACATTAGACCAGATCAGATTAACTGGATGAGATGTTGCCTAAGGTAGCTAGTGCATACAACAACTGCGTGCATCTATCCACCTGCCACACTCCCAATGAGTTGCACAAGTCCTTCAGACCACACAGACCGTTCGAAGGACTGAACCGGGATCAGATTCACAGATTACCACCCGATACCAGGGAGTTTGCAATACAGCACGAGAAAGAACTAGCAACTTTTGTTGAAAACCTCAGGAAGGCCCAGCGTAGGATGATAGAGCAAGCTAATAAGCACCGCCGCCTGTCGCAGTTTCAGGTAGGCGACTTAGTCTGGGTCAAGGCTAAAGAGTTTGCACCTGAGGAAAACATCTCGCAGAAGTTACTGCCCGCATATAGAGGACCGTGGCCGGTTCTAGAAGTCAAGGGCGGAGAGGAYGGACYRTCCTATAGCATTGAGATTCCAGCACACCTCCACACATACCCTGTGTTTCATGCTTCAAAGCTGCTGCCGTGTGTCACAAGTCAACAGTTCCCTTCGAAAAGATCCATGATCCCCCCGGATATGGATGGAAGTTATGACATTGACGGCATTGTAGATGAGGATTTTTTCAGAACAGGAGGTAGAGGTCGTCCCCAGAAACAATATAAGGTCCGTTTTGCCTATCAGGAAACGGAAGACGACCGCTGGTTCACGAAAACAGAACTTCTAGAGACCGCTCCCGACATAGTCAGAGCCTATGAACGTGACAAGAAAGGTAAAAGTCCCGCCTTGGACTGAAATGTTATCGGAGGACCTCGAATTTAGGACGGCGGGAGTGAAACGGTTTTCACCTTTTAGCAGTAGCGGATGCAGTACCCAGGGTTCGATCCCTACACCTTACCCTACCTATGTACAGTATCTGTATAGATCCCGAGAATTGAACCTGTGACCTGGGTATTCGTAGACRGTTGGTAGGTCTGTCGTAGGTCCATAGGCAGCAGGGGTTCGATCTGTAGGTCTATAGCGTAGAAGTCTTAGCGAGTTCCGGAAGCTTAGCTGTAGACCTTCTAGAAGGTAGGCAAGTCGGCAAGTGGTGAGGCAAGTGGTGGACTAAACTGCAGTGCAACAGCAGTACAACGTCGGTAGGATAGTGGTGAGTCCACAGTCAGTCAGCGGAAGGTCCAGTCAGTCCCAGTCCG